TTAAGAGAACATGGTGCTTTTTTCCTGTCCTGTAAAGTCAATATGAAATAAATGTACCCTATTTACTTTTTAATGCACTTTCCTGGTGCATGATTCATCAGTGCACATTATTCAAAAATGTCTTTGCAATCTTCTATCAAAATATAATAACTTTAATTTGTTTAACTAATAATTTGGTCTCTGCAACAAATTTCCTTACTTTACTTTACTTTTAGTCATTTAGCAGACGCTTTTATCCAAAGCGACTTACAAATAAGAAAAAGTAATTAAAACTAAAAGCTAAAACTCTATAAATACTATATATATACACACATTTAAAGGGGTCATATGATGCGATTTCATTTTTTCCTTTCTCTTTAGAGTGTTACAAGCTCTTGGTGCATAAAGAAGATCTGTAAAGTTGCAAAGACTAAAGTCTCAAATCCAAAGAGATATTCTTTATAAAAGTTAAGAGTTAGCCACACCTACCTAAAACGGCTCGTTCGAACACGCCCCCACATATCTACCTCACTATGTGGGAAGATTTGCATAACACCGCCCAAATGTTCACGCAAAGAAAGAAGGAGTAACTTTTATTCTCGCTGTAATATTGAAAAGTGAAAAGTGAAAAAGTGAAAAGTGACGCGCAATGATTTGATCCGTGAGGCATCCGTCACGGCTTCTTATCAACACAGAATCCTTTCATTTCAGATGATTCTTCGAGAAAGCTTTAATATTCTCTTTGAAGATGTGATTAAATGATTCAATGAATAATAATAATAAAAAAAATATAGCATAATCTAATCTAAATATGTACTGGGAATATGAGGTCACTGCATTGTCCTCTGCCAATGAGATTTTACCAAGTGGAATAAACGACTTCAAAATGACGACACTTCCTTCTTGGCTGACTTCAAAATGGTTGTGCATCATACAAAGCTGACTTTTGAATTCCAGTTTAATTGCTGGATTTTAATTGAATTGCAGAATAGCAATTAAAAAAATTAGGAAGTACAATTAAAATGAATTGAAATTCAAATAAATTCAAATAACTCTAACTAGGAAAAGCAAAGTTTGTCAAGAAGACATGTCATGTTGGCTTGACAAAGCCTTGCCTAGGATTCTGAAAAGGTTTTAAGATTGTATATGCTTTATGTATTCTAAATATTAATAAGATATTAACAGCGGTTAGTGCTGGAAAATACAGACAGACAGAATAATAGAACATGATATGATATGATAGGATAGGATAAGATAGGATAGGACGGACGGACGGAGACGGACGGACGGACGGACGGACGGACGGACGGACGGACGGACGGACGGACAGACAGACGGACAGACAGATAGATAGATAGATAGATAGATAAGATAGATAAGATAGATAGATAGATAGATAGATGTGGCTGCCAAACCTCAACTCAATTAAATGATCCAAACTCCACTCAGATAATTGAAGGCTGACATACCTGAAAAGTCTCCTTTAACACTTCTTTTTAAAGTTTGACTAACTTTAAATTGAAAGTAAAAGTTAAAGTGAATAAAATCTGGTTCATATAAATCTCATTTCCACTGACAGCTACTACATACTGGCACTTGGATACTTCACAACGCACCACTGGATTAAATGGCACCTTTTCTAGAGAGATAAGAGGACGTCTCAGAGCACCATTTAATAATCCTAGAGCCCCATAAGACATCTTAGGTGCTGCTAATGGAATAAGTGCAGACTCTGCATCTGTCCGGCTCATTCTCTTAAGAAAATTACAGCACAGACCGTATGTCTTCAGCTCTCATCTCAACACACACTAGCAGAATACACATCGTAATTTCTCATGGGTCTCATAAATGGTCTATTGCACAAAAAAAAACAAAAAACATATTGACTAAAGGTCTATATCTGTGCTACATTTCAGCTGAAAAAGCTAGATAGATAGATAGATAAGATAGATAAGATAGATAGATAGATAGATAGATGTGGCTGCCAAACCTCAGCTCAATTAAATGATCCAAACTCCACTCAGATAATTGAAGGCTGACATACCTGAAAAGTCTCCTTTAACACTTCTTTTTAAAGTTTGACTAACTTTAAATTGAAAGTAAAAGTTAAAGTGAATAAAATCTGGTTCATATAAATCTCATTTCCACTGACAGCTACTACATACTGGCACTTGGATACTTCACAACGCACCACTGGATTAAATGGCACCTTTTCTAGAGAGATAAGAGGACGTCTCAGAGCACCATTTAATAATCCTAGAGCCCCATAAGACATCTTAGGTGCTGCTAATGGAATAAGTGCAGACTCTGCATCTGTCCGGCTCATTCTCTTAAGAAAATTACAGCACAGACCGTATGTCTTCAGCTCTCATCTCAACACACACTAGCAGAATACACATCGTAATTTCTCATGGGTCTCATAAATGGTCTATTGCACAAAAAAAAACAAAAAACATATTGACTAAAGGTCTATATCTGTGCTACATTTCAGCTGAAAAAGCT